CTTCACAGATCTGGGCCTGGAGTTTGAAGGAGCAATCTCGGAGGAGGCCTCTTGGGGCACGATGCATCTCTTCCCCATCTCTCCGTGGCCTGGTGTCGGTCACTTTCCTGAGAGATGGGGAGCCTTCTCCCTACTGCTGCGTGGGACCCGGAGGTTGGAACAGCGCGGGCTTTGTCCCATCGGCCAGACCCAGAATTTGCTGCGACGGCCGCCCCACCCCCACTCACAGCCACAGCTGCGGATTAAACAGCAGATTAAAAGCCAGATTTGGATTTTCTATGTTTTGGCCTTTTTTCCTGTGTCCCGGACAAGTCAATTGACCCATTGTTCTCGAAAAGTCTTCACTCTTGGTTTTCCGTGAGAGCCAGAATTCGGGCTTTTTCCTGTAGTCGTAAGCCAAGGCTAAACTATTCCAGCAATGCTGCCTGCAGTGGGCACTGTCCAGGGGCCGGGTGCGCAGAATCCTCGCGCTTTCCACCCAGTCTCCCCGGGGAGCCGGCAGCCTCTACGCCCTGCACTGGCTGCGTAAACACCCGGGCGGCTTTGACAGAGCTGCTTAAAAGCAGGCGCTTTGCTGCCAGGCTTGCCGCGGGCCACGGCTGCTGCAGCCACGTCAGCCCCCACCTGTGGGTCCAAAACACCCGCCCGAGTGGAGTAACCTGCACAAAGGCACCAAAAGCTCCCTGCGCGTATTTTCTGGCCGAGGCTCTGCTCATGGCTGCTCTGCTGAATCAGTCTGCAAGTTCGAGAAGGGACATTCTGGGCTGAAAGAAGTGGCATTAGGGTCAGGGGTTTGAGGAGAACCACGGGGGGCTGGGGACTGACCTAGGTGTCCCCCCACCCCAGTTAACTCTGGTGGGTGGACCAGGCCCCCCGGGGGCTGGCGGTGCAGCCCAGGTAGGTGTCTGGGTGTCCTGGGGCAGGAGAAGGGTGGGGTGCACCTGGCAGCTGTGCCAGAAAGCTCCCCCCCAGGGTGCTCGCGCATTTGCGTGCCTGCGTGTGTGCGTGAGCGCTCGCGTATATTTGCACACACATATGTTCATGCATGTGCACACACGTGTGC